AAGAAATAAGTAGGCTCGAGACTTCTGAAGGATCGGGTCGTTTACGTGAATTAAATGGTCAACTCGAAGGACTACAAGCTCAAAGAGACATATTAAACGGTAAACTCAAAAGTCAAATAACGCGAATAAAAGAAGCAATTAGTTACGCTTTACATTCGGATGACACACTGGGTGAGAAGATTCGAACGATATTTAGAGAACAAGGCGTCACAATCGCAAGCATCTTAGCGGCTTTTGGTTTAGCTGTAAGTACCGTCGTTAGTAGTATAGTGGCCAGCGTCAGGGGTGCCGGAACTCCTAAACCAACGCCTGAACCTGAACCCGCACATAAACCAACGCCTGCTCCTCCCTCAAAAGGTGGAGTTACCGATTGGATCAAAGACAATTACAAAATTTAGCCAACGTATTGAAGAAACTTGGGTTGAAGGCTTTAGACGCTTTGCCAGGGATCATCGGTAGCATTTTGGGTTGGATTTTTAACGTGGCGAGTAAAGCGGTTGGATGGGTGGCAGATCACGTGTGGACCTTGTTCGTGGGCGCAGGTGTTTTGCTTTTAACGTACGTGCAAAAGAATGGGTAAAAAGGACCAAACAAATAAGATAAAAATTCACCCCAAATTTGAGGTGAATTTTTTTTTTACGCCTTAATTAAAAACGTTTAAGTGAAAACCTTGTATAACATAAACCCAACGACACCCACTGCAACGGCTCCGACGGTTAATGATAGTTTCTCTTCATTGTGGGCGTCTAAAGGCTTGCTCGCTTTGCGAGCTGGTTCTGGTTGCTTCCTCGGTAACACTGCCGGTTCTGGTAATTCCTCTTCGTCAGTACTCGTTCCACTTGTGCTACTCGCTCCGTTATTCAAACTCGGTATGTATCCAGTCTTCATATCCTCAGTCGCGACTTGTAAATTATTGTTGTACCCCTCAAACGTGCCGATGCGTAAGTCCATGACCGAGGGCACCAGGTACAAACCCGGAGCAACTGCGAAATTCAACGGTGTTTTCGCGTACTGTAACGAATCTTGATATTGGTCGATCGACTGTTCGAGATCGGGGCCCGAATTAATTAAAGATTCTACAATCGTAATAAATTGCCGTTGCACGTCTAATCCGGTGCCGGTGGCCAAGACGCTGGTCTTGGTCTGTACCTGTGCCCCTAGTAACGCGTAGACGTAAGCTCGAATTGATTCATTTACCTTGGTGATTCCCACGTCAGTCAAACGAGAC